AAGTCCAAACTCTGTAGAGCTCCACCTTAACTTCAGTAGGTGTGAAGGTTATAACTACAGCAAAGATCTACAACAAAGGGCAGAGGACAGTGCTACATAAAAAAAAAAAAAAACTGAGGAATGAGTGTGTTTTTTAAAATGGACTTCTGTGCAACAGTCCAGAATTGTTCTACATGGTAGAAGCACCATTAACTTGACACATACTCCCCACAGGCTGTTTTGAAGGTCAAACCTCATTTATATTCAGAAAATCTGGCCTGCTAACCCACTGTCTCAACAAAGACTTACACATGGAGGGCCTTTAGCTGGTATTTGGCATTTCATTCTTTTCAAATGTTCCTTTGTTTTATTGTCATATTTTTATGTAACACACTTAGTTTAGAAAAATAAGCATGTTGATTTAGATCATCCTTTTGAGTTAGATTTCTTTTCCAATGGTGAACTAGAGGGGCAATATATTTAATGGATATTGAGCTATGTATTACTGACAGAGAATTTACAATTAAAATGAGTGTTTTTCTACTATTCAGATTTTACAATTTTACTAGCTAGGATTACTTTTGCAAGACTATGAACTCATTTGATATATAGCATTTAATAAAATCATATTTCCCTATTGAGCAAGTGACATTTATGTTCATATGAAGACAACAGTTCATGGTGGCAGAAGACAGCAAAAGCAGCAAGAGTGAAAAGGGCAGGAGCAAGCCTGTTTTCCTCCCTTATATTGTATGCAGGCGCCCTTGGGTGGGTCAACACTCACACCATCTCCCTGCCCACCTTTTGCACAGGCTCAGGATGTTTAGTAAGGATCCTTGTCCCCAGTTGAGTCACTTAATTATTGATACAACTTCTTAGAGTGGTAAATTTGCCAAATTTGATTGCCTGACATAAGACTATTTTAAGGAGCCTTAAATTGTAGGAAGATAACTCATGAAATGAGAGATTTGTGTTATGCTTACCTCATAGGGATAGGTTAGCATAAGACTTTGAGAACTCTTTAGATTTGACCTCAGAGCACAGAAATTTAGTATTGAACATCCCAACAGAGAATCTTCCAATTAATAGATGTATGAGTAAGGTGCTTACTGTGCTTTTTATTTCATTTTTTGAAAGAACATTTAGAATTATGGGTCTGACTCAGCGGATCATTAAGAAGTTATGGTGTCTGTAGAGTAGAGGAGATTTCAAGAATTTGTGTGTCGTATATGTCTTAATTATTGTTCTCATTGTTGAGACAAAATCCCCAATGCCCAAAATTAAGGATGGAAAGGTTTATGTAGCTCATAGTGTGTGGAGGATTTGGACAGAAATCAGCTGGCTCTCAGGCAGGGTGGCTTGGCACAGGGCAACAGTTCATGGCGGCAGAAGACAGCAAAAGCAGCAAGAGCAAAAAGGGAGGGAGCAAGCCTGTTTTCCTGGCTTATACTGTGTGCAGGCGCCCTCGGGTGGGTGCAGCACTCACATAATCTCCCTGCCCTCCTCTTGCATAGATTCAGGATGTTTACAAAGTAAGTGTCCTAGTCCCCAGTTGAGTCACTTAATTTTTGACACAACTTCTTACAGTGGTAATGACATGTGCTCTACACCATTGGGTGTAGAGCTGCTAAGCCAATTAGTTATGCTTCAAGACTTCTCAAGTTGATGCCATATATTAACCATTACACTATATAATTGTTTATTTGGTCAGGTGTATATTGTGCTTTTATTTACCTGAGTGTTTGTTTTGGTTGATTTTATTTTCAATAGTGTGGCAGTTTTATCTACTCCACCTTTGGCTCTTTCTTCTCTCTACAGGGTTGCCATGGTCATTCCCTGGATGGCTGGGAAAAGGTTTCAACTGGCCTTATGTAAACATTCAGCTGACTGCCTACTATGTTGTGAGCTGGATTTTGGGTGCCAAGCATTATCATGATTTGGACATAGATTATATTGGAGTTAGTAATATATTTATTACATGAATAATCTTGGGGATTTTGTAATTTTTAAAAGTAATTTTATTCTGCAACAATTCATTGACTAATCATGTTGTAAACTAATCTGTTCTGATGGTGTGTGATAAAAACACAAATGAACTACATGTGACTTTATTGCTGAACTTTGCCCTTCCATATCTTTCCACTTTTGAAGCTGTACTGAAATATACCACCTCCAAACTATGTTTTAAATGTTTTCAAAACACCTTACCTCAAATTTTCCTGCTTTAAAGCCTTCTGTTTTCCTCTACTTTTCATAAAAAACAGTTTTTGTCTAGTTTAATTATTTCCACTTTGTTCTATGAGCCTTCCATTATTGTCTTCAGTTAGGCATTTGCAAACTTCTTTGTAAAGAGTCAGAGCACAAGTATCTTGGGGTTTGTAAGTTTAAAGGCAACATAAAGGGATATTTGATGGTAACTTTATAAGCATTTAAAATGTAAACTAAAAACCACTTTTAGATTTGACAGGCAGGGTGAAATCTGCCTTCCCATACCCTAAATGGTTACATAGCATCTTTTAGTAATCTAGAAAGTATAAAGGGGCTGGCCAGATAGCTCAGTGGACTAAAGCTCCTGCTTAGGCAGGTACAGTGACCAGGGTTTGATCCCCAGCGTGCCTTACTGGCCTTGTTCCTAGGGCATGCTGAGACCTCCATGGAGACTGGGCTTGGTGGTATGCATCTGTAATCCCAGCGCTTGGGAGGCTGAAAGCAGGAGGATCACTAAAAGGCTGATCTGTGCAGTGAGAACCTGTAGACCCTGTACTAAAATCCAAAAAAAAAAAAAAAAAAAAAAAAAGTATGAATACATGTATTTTCAGGGCTAGTATGTTCTCAGGTGGGAGCATGCCTTGGGCTGTACTGTGTCCTACATGGCCTTGTGCACACCCATGGTGGTTCTCCGTAACCACTGACCATTAACATGCCATCTACCCAAACTGATATTTTCAATGAAATCATGAGTTAGATTATGAGCAAGCATTGACTGAACTCCTACTGTGTTGCAAGACTAATGAAGTTCAGGGATACGAAAATTCATAAACTCTTGAGATGAATTTGAGAGATAGACCCTGCAACAGATCGACTGCAGGGTCCCAGGGTAGTTAGGACACTAGGATGAACCAAGGGCCGTAGGAAGCAGAAGCGTGAATGCATTTGTTTGTGCTTTCCTTCTCCACAGATCAACTTGTATTGCAGAGCTTTCTTAAGCATGGGGCATTTTAAACCCATAGGGAGCCTCACTGTGGAATTGGGTCTAATAACTGCATCATAGTATGTGTGCTGCCAAAGTGAGCACAGCTTTTTATTATAGCACAGTAATAGTTAGACAATGTTTCTGATAAATAAGGAGACATCTATATCTCATTTACACTCTTGGTAATCACACAATAAGGAACTTCTTTGATTAAAAATTGCTCTTGTATTGTAGTCTTGGCTCTGTGATTAATATTTTTTTCAGTTGTAAAGTCAAAGGCATTCTTCTTCACCCTTGCTGTTCCATGCTTTGTGATTCTGAGCCTCACACTTATGAATGTTCCCTTTTACCTTTCCTCATAAAGAGTTTGTTTTTGTGCTCTAGCACCTTGTGATTCCCTGTGTGCTTGAGAACAGTTCTTCTATATGCTGTCTTTATTTATACTGGGCTTTCGGCCTTTGGTCATGATTGTAGAGATTGTCAGGATGATAGACAAATCCTGATGTCTGTTAGTTTTTCAGTGCCTAAAATAGTTCTGGCACACATTAACCTCCTATTTGTTTATTTTGTGGTACCAGGAATTGAACTCAGGACCTTCCACTTGCTAGGCAGGTTCTTAAGGCACTGAGCCATCTCCCCGGCCCTCAATGTTTGTTGAATGAATGTGTGTTCCGTTTTTGTAAAGCTCTGGAATACATGGCTTTAAAAATATGACTACCAAATAATTTGGAGATTTTTAAAGATAACTTTCTAATCTTAAAAACTTATGTTGTCTTATAAATATCTATAAATTCTATGCAAACGTATTCTAGAAAGTAGGAAAAATGAAAAGATGTTGAGATGCAAAATTGTGCGTACATGAAGTGACATCTTAATGGTGACATCTATTTTTTATTATTGGAAAGCTTTCAATTTAGTCTCTTTGACTTTTTGTTTTGCAGATTTGGAATGAAAGGACATTTGATACAAGTTACATAAAGGTCTGTACCACTTACTATCTTTTAGTCTTAAAGATACTCATAAATAATTTCTTACAGGTCCACATACAGAACTTAGTAGGAATTTTATAGTAGAAATGCCGTACTTAGCTGGGGAGATGCCTCTGTGGCGCAGAACCTGCCTGGGGAGCATGAGGTTATGAGTTTGATTCCTGGTACAAAAATAAAAAGGCAGTTATGTATTACACCATTAGGTCATAAAATTAAAATATCAGTAATGGTTATATTTCTGATGTTAAAGCATGATCAGCAGAGAGTTAGCATTTATATTTGTAAATGATAGTTTTGAGCCACTTTTCACATATAGTTATGTCATTTTAATTCTTATAAACCCTCATGTTTTAAGTACTATGATTACAATAGTAAGTCCTATCATTGGAAAACATATAGCAATTTTGCTTTCCAGGTTGACCTGTTCACTGGTTAGCTTTTCATTTTCTTTTCTCTAAGTAGTATACTCTGAGCCCCATCAGCAAGTTAATCCATTCACTGGATGAGGGCCAGACTTTAATCTGTAACTCAAAGAGGGAGAGGGCATAGATTTGACAGGGTCCATTGCAGCGAGCACCGCATGATTTAGTGGTACTGTGAGGGTGTTAAGAGCCAGTTGGGAGTAGCATGGACCAGACATGGAGATGGAGCAATGGAACCGCTGTACAGTTCAGGCAGGAGGATTGCTGGTGCAGTGTGCTAAGTGCTCCATGTGCAAGGCTGACGAGCACTTCGTTAGTGCATGTGTTGTGTGATAGCCTATGGCCAGGATGATGGCATTGTGACAGTACTGAAAGTCATCTTCTGGAATGCTGATTCTGAAGATACTGTTGTAGTTACTCTTCTCTCTTTGCTGAGACAGAATAGCTGACACTGAAAGATAATAGGGGAAGAGCTTATTTATCTCCCAGTTTGTAGAGGTCTCAGTCCCTAGTTGGCTGGCTCCATGTGCCAGCCAAGGGTGGCGTATGGCAGAGGGAAGCGGTTCATGGTGGAGAAAGTCACCAAAGTAATCAGCCGAAGCTCAGCAGCAACTTTCTGCCCTTTGTATACTTAATCCAGGCTGCCAGGGTGATGGTCATGCTAATCCAAGCAGTGGACAGATCCAGCAGTCATCCGCCCTTAATCCCAGCATCCTTTATTTTAGCATTGCACTATCAAACAGTGACACACACTAGATTCAACCACGTCTGAAAAAAGTCTATGATCATGTGGGACTTTAGGGGGATATCTAGACAAACCATAACAGGTACTTTAGTTTAGTTTAGTTTTTTTTTTTTTCATTATAATTCAGTAGCCAAACACTCCTTTGTAACCTTTCATGTGTTCTCTTTGTGCATCAAAAGGTATTAAGGAAGATGTTGGACTCACAAGGTCTTCAGCGAGTGAAAATCATAGCAAGTGATAGTCTGTGGGAGCCCATTTCGTCATTCATGCTGCGAGACCCCGAACTCTGGAAAGTGATTGATGTTATTGGGTAAGGCGTGCTCTCATCTTTAAGGCGTGAGATTGGGTAATGCATGTTTTAAGGTTTCTGGATGCTGCGGTGCTGTGTTTTTGTTTTTGCCTGTTGCATAGCTGGTAAGGTGTTTACTGAGCTGAGGCGTTTGTGGCTCGTAGGTTACTGCTTTCTCTTTGAAATGTTGTATATTCGAAAATCTTTCTATGGTGATGAAATTCATTAGTAACTTTTTTAAAAAATGTGTTCTTGTTTGCAATAATAAAATAGGACTTAATTTAGATTAGTGGCATGGTAGTTTTTGACATTAGAGATTATGAAGGCAGTTTTGTGAAATTAGGTCCTAAATCAGTTTTTATAGGCCCACTCACTATACCGGCTGATATATATCTATATATATCTATATCTATATCTCTATATCTATATCTATCTATCTATCTATCTATCTATCTATCTATCTATCTATCTACCTAGAGTAGCATAGATTTGACCTTGTTCCATGTTTTAGTTGTTCCTTTCAGTTCTCTGTGCCTGGAATTCACTGGACTCAGCAGTATTAGTTTTAAAGTGAATTTGTATCTTATCCAATATGTCAAAGTTTATAAACCTTTGAATACATATATATATATATATATATATATATAGTATTTGGTCTTTTCCCTTGTGAAAGTTCTGGTTGCTCTCTGAATATGCTTTCTTTTCTTTTTTTGGCTCAACTGGGACTGGGGATTAAACTCAGACCCTTGTGCTTGCCAGGGAAGCCCTTATTCTACTGAGCCATCTACCCGGCCCCTAAATATGCTTTCTTTGATTGAAAATTTTGGAAAATTTTCTACCTGAAAAGTAGGTAGAAAATTATGGGCTAGCAAGATAGCTCAGTGGGCTAAGCACCTACTTTGGCAAGCACAAGGATCAGGGTTCGATCCTTGGTCCCACATGCCGTGCCAGCCCCACCTCTGGGGAGCGCTCAGCTAAGAATGAGTCTGGGCATGGTGGTGGCCCCCTGTAATCTCAGCACTGGAGAGGCTGAAAACAGGAGGATCATGAGTCTGAGTTGCATAATGAGATCCTGTACCACATAAATAAATTTTAAAAAACCCCAATATATATATATATATATATATATATATATATATATATATATATATCCAGTGTTCCAGTCTCTCAACTTACAAAGTCTGAACACCTGTTCATTTCTGTCCTGTTTTTTCCTTACCCTCCTGAATTTGAAACAAATTTCAAATACGTTTTTTCATAAAAATTACATTTTAATGAAAGATAAAATTAGTGAAAGATAATTCAATTTGATGAAAGGTAAAAGTGTCTTTTGCCATAAACAGTGCCTTTTTTATACCTAGAAATGTGATAGGTTCTTGATTTTATCATATCTGTAATTATTATTTAATAACTTTATTTAGTTGACTCTGGGTCCATTTAGGATTTGTATATTGTGATTGATTGATATTTAAGTATCTTCTAATCTTCAAGTTGTTGTTCTTTTTCCTTTTAACATATTTGTTAAAGAAACCAAGTTTATCTTGTAAAGTTTCTCACAGTTTAAATTTTACTGATTTCAGTTTTAATTTAATGTGTTCATCTATCATACTCCACAATGTAAATTGGTAGAGAAATGATTAGATTTGATTTGGACTTTATAATTTTTTTTGACAAGCAAAGTAACATATACACTTATTTTTCAACATTTTATACAATAAAATTAAAATGAATTGCTTTTATCATTACAGCTTTCATAAATAGCTCATATCCTGACGGAAAACAGGGTTATCGTCATTATGATTTGTAAACTGTTATTAGAAAATATAATTTAATCCTTCATGCTTTGTTTTATTTAATTATTCGTAGATCAGCTTCTGGTTTGTCTGTAATTAAGAAACTCCTGATTTCATTTGTGTTGCCTTCCACTGTACCTTTCAAGGCCATTTTGTTTTAGGTTCATTGCTTACATGGAATTAGATTTTGCTTTTAAAGCTGCTCAGAAAAGTCTTCATAGCTTAATGAATAAATTAAAACTATTTATGTGTCCAATAATGTGTTTGTGTTCTCTGTTACCCTGATGTCTCTTGCTATTGCATGATTTATGTATTTACCAAGGCAAAATGTTTTGCTGTTTGATTTCCTTTGTTCTAGTTTAAAGACATAGGGCAATGTTCAGATATTTTACATTTTCACAATTAGATAGGGAGATGCTATTTACATTTTATAGGCAGAGGATAGGAATACCTTTCAAATATTCCTCTGATACACAGGATCGTTTTTTTGTCTAAATGTTTTAGAAAATTATCCAGCCCACAATGTCAGTAGTGCTGAAATTGAGGAACTATTTTATATTAGTAATCTATTTCTTGTTTTTTAAAGATATTGTTGGGCTGACCAGATAGCTCAGTGGATTAAAGCACCTGTTTAGGCATACAATGGCTGGCATTTGATCCCCGGCATGCTGTGCCTGCCCTGCCCCTGGGGGTGCACTGAGACTGTGATTGAGATTGGGCATGGTGGCATGCACCTGTAATCGCAGCTCTTGGGAGGCTGAACACAGGAGAGTCACTATGGGTCTGATCTATGTAGTAAGACCCTATAGACCCTGTAGACCCTTACTAAAATACAAAAAAATAAATTAAAGGTATTGTCAACTGGCTTAGGAAAGCAATTTATTTGATAACTACAAATTCAGCTTATTTGGTAACTACCTCCCAGGCTTTCTTTCTCCTGGTATGGAGTCTTAATTTGCATAATTATCTTAGTATGTCACCTTTTATATTCCTCTGTGAGTGTAAACTTCTTTTTCTTTTTTAACTTTTAATTTTATTATTGATTTGTTACAGGGTCTTGCTATGTAGCTGGACTCATAGTGATCCTCCTGTCTCAGCCTCCCTAGCACTGGGATTACAGGCATGCTCCGCCACACCCAGTTTCAGTGGCTGGCTTGGCACATCTGAGGTTCCAGGGCCGGCACTGCAGGTGGTACCAGGAATCAAACTCTGGCCCTTGTGCTTGCCAGGAAGGCACTTAAACCACTGAGCCATCTCCCCAGATCAGTGTCTTGATGTCTCAGTTACAAATTGCAGCCTTTTACTTGTAGACAATCCTAGTGTTTTAGTTACTTTTTTACTTGTTTTCTGGGACAAATACCCAACACTCCAAAAGAAGGAAGGAAAGGTTTATTTAGCTCACAATTACTGTAGGGTTCAGTCCATATTCCACTGGCTCCAAGGCAAATGACAGCAGTTCATGTGGCACAAAACAATGAAGAGCAGAGGAGGAGCAGCAGCTGCGGCGTCCATCAAGCCTCTCTCTTCCTTCTATACTGACTGCGAAGCCCAGTGCTCCACAGTGAAGGTCATAGCTCTTCCAAAGTGGCGCAGCTAGGAAGATCAATTTCCTTGGAAGACTGGGACTTCTCAGAAGCAGGGCAGGGTAGCAGGAAGCCCTCCTCAATTCCTGGGCCCTGCCCACCTGCAGGGCTAGGCCCTCACATGGGAACTTCGGGAGCTGATTCAGCCAGGTTGACACAATATATCAACTGACACACCTAGTTAACAAACTTACTTAACATTTCATCCCCTTCCTTTCTGTTGTTTCAACTACATTATTTATATGCTAGCCAACCACGTAATGCATATGTGCTATTTAATGACTCGTTTACTGTAGCTCTACTATTAAATATATTTAGGTCTCATTTTAAGAATCTTTTGTTGAAATTTCTTAGTTTTTTGGGTTAGAATCTTAATATCTATGAGGTTTCCCAGCAAGTGATCCTAGAAAGTGTTTCTCTGTTTCTGTTTATTATACTATTCATTTCTAGCCTTTATTCTCGAAGGACAGTTTAGCTAGATGTTATCCTTTATCAGGAGCTGGACAGTGAATGGCAAAAGATAAAAGAGATAATGCAGTGTGGTTTGTGGGAGTCCAGGAAGGTGAGAACTCCTTAGAGCTGAGACAGAAGACTTCTCTGGATTGCACACAGTTTATTGGGTATCGTAGTAGGAAAGGGCAGACATAGCTGAGAAAAGGTATGGTAGTAAACAAGGCCCTGAGAAGGTGGAACAAATGCATGCGAAGCAGGAAGTATTAGCGAGAGGACCATTTTGTAGGGTGGCAGTATGTCCCTGAGCCTGCGTGAGATTTCCTGCCCTCCGCTGCAGGGTTACGCTGCCTTCAGAGGCATGCCATTGTCACAGACCACACAGGCCTCTACTGTGACCGTTGGCGTGGAGAGCACTGGTGTCTGTGCACCAGCCATGGGCCCTTTGGGCAGGTCACCTAGGTCTGGGACAGACTCCCAAGTGCATTTAGAAGGCCAGTTGATTAATTCCAAAGCCTGTTCAGAGGTGCTTCAAAGTGGTCTCTGTCAATCTGTAATATTGTTATATTACTCCATTGGTTACTTACGTTAAATGTTGCTAATCCAGGCTTTGTTTGTTTTCCTGATAAGTAATGTGACACAATTCCCATATGTCTAAAGAGCATTTTTATTTATCTGCTAAGTTTAATACTTTATACCATTTTTCTTTTTCTTTCTTTTTTTCTTTTTTTGTATTTTAGGGAAGGGTCTACAGGGTGTTCAGAGTCTCACTGCTAGATCAGACTAGTAGTGATCCGCCTGTTTACAGCCTCCCAAGAGCTGGGATTACAGGTGTACACTACCTTGCCCAGTCTCAATCGCTGTCTCAGTGTGCCCTGTGGGTAGTGTCAGCAGGGCAGGCCCGGGGATCAAATCCCCAGCCCCTGGGCCTGCTTGCAGGCGCTTTAATTGGCTGAGCAATTTGGCTAACCCAATAGTTTATACCATTTACCAATACTAGATAAATAATATATGCCCTTTTAATTTTTCTGCTCCATTATTTTGGTTTTCTTTTGAGAAGCTCCAGTAGATCTCTTTTCCATATGCCTTTATTCTTTATTTCTTACAATTTTTAAAATCTCTGTATTTCTCTTTGATTTTGTATCGTTTCATTCTTAATATTTTCTCTTTTCTTTCCTGTTTTTCTTAGTGCCCAACCTATGTTCCCTTTAGTTTAAATGTTTTCTCTTTTTGATATTTTAATCTTTTAAAATGTTTTCTCTTTTGAATAATGAGTCTTTATTTTAGTTTCTCATGTTCATGTCAAAAATTTCACTCCCTTGAAGAGTTTTTATTTTTTATTTTTTTTTAAACATTTATTTATTTATTTATGTGTGTGTGTGTGTGTGTGTGTGTGGCAAGCTCAGCCCACCAGGGGGCGGGGCTGGCTGGCATGTGGTGCTGGGGGATTGAACCGTGGTCCCTGTGCATTGCCAAGCTTGTTTCAAGTAGGTGCTTTAGACCACTGAGCCATCTCTCCAGCCCCCCTTGAAGAGTTTTTAATCAGGTACAACATTCCTGAGTACATGCATACTTACATGCCCAAGTCACAAGATGTAACTGAGAGAATTACCACAGAATAAACACACCAATGAAACTGCCACTGAGAACATTATCAGAACCCAAGAAGCAAGTTGTTTTCCTTGGACATCTTTCTATTCACGACCCTCTCTTTTTGCCCCAGTGATGACTGCTACTATGACTTTATTTTTTTATTTAAAAACTTTATTAAAATGGCATCTGCTTGTGTCTGTTACTTTGGCACAAAAATATCAAAAAGAGAAAACATTTAAACTAAAAGGAACATAGGTTGGACACTAAGAAAAACAGGAAAGAAAAGAGAAAATATTAAGAATGAAATGATACAAAACCAAAGAGAAATACAGAGATTTTAAAAATTGTAAGAAATAAAGACTAAAAGCATATAGAAAAGAGATCTACTGGAGCTTCTAAAAAGAAACCCAAAATAATGGAGCAGAAAAATTAAAAGGGCATATACTATTTATCTAGTATTGGTAGACATTGTATTTCTGAGATTGACAGTGTTTCCAGATAGCTGTAGTTGTTCATTGGTTAGCACTGTTAGAGGAATATTCCACAGTTTATCAGTCTATTTTATTAACAGAGTCAGCCTCAAGATCAATTTTAGCTATGATTTTTAGAGATGAAAGAAACATAACAAAGAAGGCAGTTACAGCAGATTGGTTGTTACAATTGTGTGATAATTGGGTGACAACAAAAGAGGACTTCAATTAGTGGTCATAGGAAGTTGGTCGCTTATGTCTATATGTCACGTGAGTGTTGTGATATGATGAAAAGGCTTTTATTGAGATTATTATTATTATTTTTTTTTTTTTTGGTGGTAGATGGTCTGCAGAGACTGCTCTGCTGGGTCAGAACGACCCAGGTGACTGTAGGCTCTTGCCTCACAGCTTTCTAGCTTCATTCAGTTGTGTGTGTGTGTGTGTGTGTGTGTGTGCGCGCACAGTCATTTGGGTTGTTTCCATTTCTTGTCATTGTGGGACCCTGGACTTTTTGTTCAGGAGATACTTAAGGCCTTTTGGCTCTCCCCTCCATCGCGAGAGCACAGTGTTTCCAGATAGCTGTGGTTGTTAACTGGTTAGCACTCAGTTATAGGACTATACCACAGTTTATCAGTCTACTTCAGACTGCCTGCCCCCTTCAGCGTGGGCGTGGCTTGCGCTGTGCCTGCAGGATTTTGTGGTGCAGCACTGTCTGGGCTCTGTGTGCTCCGCTGTAATCCCTCCTGCCTGGGTGTTCTTTACTTTAAGTGTTGCTCCCTTTTCAGTTTGGATTCTATGTCAGCCGGCCCATCTGCACAGTCAGCCTCTCCCATTCCTGTCTGACATTGTTAAGGGCCTCGGCTTGCACTGCCCGGTACAGTACACAGTAGTCACATGGGTCTGGCTGCGGGAGAACTGGAAATGCGGCAGATCGAAATTTAGGGCTCTTACCGGTACCTGCTGAATCTTGAAGATGTGATATTTAAACACTCAAACGTTAAAATTGTTTTATATGAATGGTAATTTTGGATGTATTAAACAAAATATACTAGCCAATTTTTCTCACTTTTCCTTTTTAAATTATTCGTTTAGTTACTTTATTTCACTCTTTCCTGCTTGCCTTTGCCCTCCTTTCTAGGGCGCATTATCCCGGCACCCGTGTGTCGCGGCATGCGAGGATGACCAAGAAGAAGCTGTGGTCTTCTGAAGATTTTAGTACTTTCAATAATGACGTGGGTGCCGGCTGCTGGGGACGCATATTAAATCAGAATTACGTCAATGGCAATATGACTTCGTAAGTTATTAAAAACCTTTCAGAGTTTTAATTATAAGAAATTTTCAAAATCCGAATAAGTAAGAAGTACCATGGACTTCTGTATACTCACGACCTAGATTCAATGTTTTGTACATTTCTGCCTTTCAGTTACACCTTTACCTAAGCCTACTTTATTGTTTTTTTTTTTTTTCTTGTGGAACCAGGGATTGAACTCAGGCCCTTGCGCTTGCCAGGGAAGCACTAATTCTATTGAGCCATCTCCCTGGCCTTTCTAAACCTACTTTACACCAAATCTATGCTTACTTTTCTATATTTTAATGTAGTCTACATTAAATATTGCTGGTTTTTATTGATATATAATTTATATATAAAATGCATGCAGTTATTTGAATATTGAAAAGCTGTATGTATTTTGTTTATAAATTCATGTTCATGACACTGCACCCTGACCATTGTATTGTGGGTCTTCAAAGCATAAGGATATTCTGCTACATGATTATTAAAATGTAAAATATTTCTCATATCCAGTGTATATTCAGAATTTCATTTGTCCTTTAAAAATGTCATTTATAGCCACCCACCTTAATTTTTTTTTTAAAGAGGAAAGGCATGCATTGTGTTTAGAAGCTATAGCTTATGGGCCAGGGATGCGTCTCTACAGCAGAGCACTGCCCAGGATGTGTGAGATGTCTGGGTTTAGGCACCAGTGCAAAGGAAAAATTTATGGCCTGAAGTCTTTTTTTAATACACAGTGGTTTCCATCTTCACCAGTGTGTGTGTGTGTGTGTGTGTGTGTGTGTGTGTGTGTGTGTGCGCGCGCAAGGTACTAACCTTTCAAAAAGACTAGACCGGTTGTCTGTGAACTAATGACTTCCCAGTATGCCTGACTGACTGCTCTGGGATCTCCTCATTCAACTGTTGATACAACAGATACTCCTAAAGCAGATTGTAACTTAATTCTAAAAGAAGCACTTCTTAAATACTTTGACAACACATTAGTTGTAATTACATTCAAATTAACCTTCTAAAGCAATGATAGAGCAGAAGCAAACCAACACACATACCTCTGTGATATTAACTCATGTTGACTCATATATTGCAAATTTTCCTTTTCTTTTTGAAAGAAAAGATGCGTGTCATGTCCTTTTGCTTATTAAGATGATACATATTCTTGGAGAAGAATTTAGAAACTGAAAATAAATATGAAGAATGAAACAAAATCAACTATAATCTTACCATCTGGAAATAAATGTCTCTAAAATTTTGATATCTGTTGTATTTTTCACTTAGATGTGTATATTTTTTGATTCAAAATTGAGACTGTAGCATATAGTTTGTTAGGTGAGCTGCTTAGCATGCGTGGCATTATGAGCCGTTCCTCATATTGAAGTATATTTCGCTTGTATCATCTTTCATGCATGTGTCTATTCTGTAACGTAAAGCAGTATTCCTCATGCTTGCCTCGCCCTGGCAGCACCTGGGTCACTTGTGATGCTCATTCCTAGGCAGCTGCCCATATTTAACTGAACCACAGGGAAAATGTTTTTTGTCTGATTAGTCAGTGCTGCAGGTGGTTCTTATGGCACCACAGTTTTGGATACAGCAGTGTAGAAAGTATATCTTTTAGAATATTTTCCTTTTCCTACAAGTGGAATTTGTTTCCAATTAATAGTTTGATGTACAACTGAAAAGGTCAACTGCTTTTATATCTATAATTACTTCTTAGGGTGTATCTCAAAAATGGTATAAGCAGGTTCATGGAGTGTGAAGACTTGTACACGCTTTAGAACAGGCTGACCAGAAAGCTAGTCTCCATTTATACTTCTGCCATTAGCTAGAGAGGATATCATACATGTTACAAACCTAGAAAGATTGTAAGAACTTTTATCATGTTTACTAGTGATTTATTTTTTAAGTTGGGACTATTGTGTCTAGTTTGTGTCAACAGAACTAGAACCATTTGATTTGTAGGAATGCCTGTTTGATTTTTTTTTATGATAGATGAAGGCTGATCAGAAAAATGAAATTCTGTGAGTAGGCTCTGTTTGTCTTTTTGCTGTGAGGCATCCAAATAAGGGAGCTTCCTGTTTGTGCTTGGATTTTCTGAGAACCATAGAGTACAACCTTAGGGTTTAATGTCTGTTGTGGACTAGTAGGGTCGAAAAGTAGACCACCAAATGGAACCAGTTAGTACTTGTAACTGAAACAAAATAATGGAAGACCCTGTGTTGGACTCTGTCCACAGTGGTACATTTAATCCTCACCACCACCCAGTGAGCTAGGTACAATCATTATCCTCATTTTACAGATGAGGAATCTGAGAGTGGTGGAACCATGATTTGAGCCCACACAATCTACTTTTAAGAGTTCTCAGTTGTAAAACTTTGCAACAGTTTAAAGTCAAGTTCATAAAATTATGTCTTGAAACTGGCACATTAAGAAGCCAGACTTGTCAAAAGGAAAGCAGGCATGGATTAAGCCTTTATTTGATCAAAATTGTGACGTGTCAGGTACTGATAGAGTGTGATTCATCTGGCCATAGCACCTTACATTAAATAATGAATATTTTTTTCATCATGTGAGTCACCGTTAAAAATGTTTAGGTGCATACAAGTTTTCTAATTAGTGTGGGTGATCTTAAGGCAACTTCTGTTTTCTTTCTTTCTTTTTTTCTTTTTTTTTTTTTTTCCCTACCGGGGCTTGAACTGAGGACCCTACGCTTGCCAGGCATGCACTTTTTGTACTGAGCTATCTCCCCAGCCCTGTTTTCTTATTTGGAATGGTCATTTGTGGCCATTCATGTATCTGAATTATAATATACATAGACATTTTACTCTAGGCCCCTAGCCATTTCTGTTTCTATCCTAAATTGTTTGGGTGTGTTTTTAATGAAACAAATCTTTCAGCACAATTGCTTGGAATCTGGTGGCCAGTTACTATGAAGAGCTGCCATATGGGCGCTGTGGATTGATGACTGCCCAGGAGCCGTGGAGTGGGCACTATGCCGTCGAATCTCCTGTCTGGGTATCAGGTATGCTTCAGATCCCATCTCTCTCATAGTTTATAAAGAACGAACAGGTACCATGTAGAGCAGCTTATACAAACTGTGTATAAGTCTGTATTTTAAGTGAGTTTCCACTGTGAGATGTTTCCCATGTTTTAGAAGAATATTCACATAACTACACTATTCTCTGTATTTTATACTTGATTATTCAAAGATCAGGCTCTTAGAAAATAGTAGGAAAGGAAGAGGAAGAGAGGAGGGGCAGAGAGTGTCTACCAAGGAAGAGAGAAATGGTCATCCAAGTATATAGTACAAACTAGGATAATTGCTAATAAGATGGTGTGTTTGTAAGGTTCATTTCAACTCCCAAGCAGAGTATCTAAAAATCTTAAACTTTGTTTTAAAGACACTTTATTCTTTAATACTGACATATTTTTATAGACTAAAGTAGTGAGCTAGCAAAATCCAGATGCATGAACAACAAATATTAAATGATTAACAAATATTATAGTTACTAAATCACTCATAATGAAGTAATTATAAGCATTATGTGAAATATTACAGCTTTAGATCGTTCCCTAAATGTCGTATGTGTTGTTGAAAGCCAATTTTCAGAAAATGAGAAAATCATGGCTCATTTGGATAAAAATGAGCAAATGCTGAAGATTTTACGTTACTCATGTGATGGAAGAGAACCAGGCAGATGTTAGAATCCATTCAAAGAAAAAGTCAGCACAGCATAAATTTGGGAAAGTAAAAAAATTTGGGATGAATGGAACACAGCGACAAGCTGAGTGTCCTATAGCCAGGAGGAAGTCAATTGAATGTATGTCTGCTAGACATAATTTGCATAGCTCGAAGACCAGGCTACACATATATTCATTTTCATGGAAACAAAATATTTTCAGTAGTATCATGCATTAGTCACAAGGGAAGTTGAGGTCATACAGTGCATGACAGTTTTCATGAAGTGGTATCACTGTTAATGTAATTTAAATAAAATTAAAAGCATCATTAATATTTTGGTGGAAATATTAATATGACCATTTTGTTTTTAAAATATTAAAAAATTTCTTTACAAGTAAAAGGCATTCAGAACAAATTATGACTTGAGAGAGAACTTGTTTTAATTTTCAACTAATATTTTGGTAACTTTTTTAGTTCTCCTCAGATATTTGTGACCAGATTAATTTAATTATGTCATCATCCTAAATTCCTTAAACTCTAAATGTATGGAAAAGTTAGTTGGATTTGTGTCAGTTTATGACAGAAAATGCCCCCCAACCCCAGCCAATATATATTAGCTTCTTAGTTGACCAGAGAACAGTTCCTGCTCCAGTTCTGATGACTTCTGTCTTAGAAACAGTGGGTCACTGCAGCGAGTATTGTAAGAACCAATCCCCAGTTGACCAGCCATCCTGCCTTTGTACTTCTTGTTTGCTTGTTCCATTTAAGCCTCAGATCACCAGAGATTGAGCCCTGATATTCTGGGAATGATCTCGTTCAGTGCTCATTGAAGTAAATAAATCTGCCTGCAAATCCTGGGTGTCCTTTTGACCTTTCTGCTTGCCTTAGCAGGTTAGCTTCTTAAGTGTTGAAATTGTTGGTCCCACTTACCTGGATCTACTATGTGGTATATCCTTCTAATTTATTTTACCTGTCATTCTAAGACTCTTCCTTTAGTCACTATGTTTAATTAGATTGATTTTTTTTTTTGAAAATTGAAGCATGAGTTTGGCAGGTACTTTCCTCCAATATAGAAAATAGGTTGTTAGTGTCTATCCCATTCAAACTTGGAAAGTAGTTATTTTTTAAAAAACTTATCATGGCCATCTTACCATCTCCTCTTATCCATCTTTCCCTTCTTTTTGTAGCTCATACGACTCAGTTTACCCAACCAGGGTGGTATTACCTGCAGACAGTTGGCCATTTGGCAAAAGGAGGAAGCTACGTAGCTCTGACTGATGGCTTAGGTAACCTCACTGTCATCGTTGAAACTATGGTAATTTTTGGTTGTTGATACTGGGTTAATTCACTTTTGTATTAGAAACATAGCCAAATGCAAAACAGAACACACTTAAGTTTTGGTTTTACATACACACAGGCATATACCAAGGTCTTATAGCTTTTGTTGTAAAATTTTAGCTGTGCATCAGTGAAATGCAGTGGTACAGCTCACTGTTATGTAAAGTGTTTAGCTCTCGTCTTTCCTCCACTTGTGTATCAGGTGAAAGGGGCAAAGTCAGATTACCCACTTACAAATGTGTGGAGAAGACATAATCTTTGCAGACTGTGACTTCTTCCATTTTCATCATAAATACCGTGGTTGTTTGGGGAGGATCTTTAGTTTGTTGAGAAAAAGAGTTCTGAAGGTCAAATAACTCAGAGGCTGCAGTAGGAAAAGCAAAGGCCTGGTGGGTGAAAAGAGGAGTGGAGAAGGTAAGGGCTTGGAGTGGGATGTATCAAGGACTTAGGGGAATTAGGAGAAGATAAATGGTGACAGAGGAAGGAGGAGCAGAAGCAGATGGGCAGGTCTTAGAGGTGCCAGTCTGGGGAGATCTTGAGCTCCTTGAAGAGGGCAGTGAAATGCCAATAAGAGGGAGGTGAACAGAGCTGGCAGCATGTGTTGTCAGCTGGAGTGGAAGGAGGTTTCAGTTGACCAAGGAGGTCTCATGGGAGAAGTAGGGTCAGTCCAGATAACCAAAGAGCCTTATAAGGGCTGGCCAAATAGCTCAGTGAATTAAAGCACCTGCAAGCAGGCAGGGGTCGGGGTTCGACCCCCAGGCCTGCTGTGCCGGCCCGCCCCTGGGCCACGCTGAGACATTGAGCCAGAGTGTGGTGGTGCGTGCCTGTAGTCCCAGCTCTTGGGAGGCTGTAAACAGGCGGATCAGTACGAGTCTGATCTAGTAGTGAGACTCTGAACACCCTGTAGACCCTTCCCTAAAATACAAAAATACAAACAATAACAACAAAAAGTCCACAAAGAGCCTTATAGGTATAGGTAGCACTTAGCAGGTTCTGAATGTTAGCTTACAATTTGGCTAACTCCTGAACACGGAGGTCTTAAAAACATTTTGAAAATACTTTAAAAATATGAGACTATCTTGTTCAGGTTTCAGCAAGGAGAAACAGTAAATATTGCAGATTTTTAAAAATCATACATATTGCACAGGTCAGCGAGAATCAAAGTGAGCCTTTAATGACTTACTGTGGCAAGGACTTTTCACAAAAACAGGTGAAAAGAAACAGCCCTCCCAAGACTGCTGCCAAAGACAGGCTAAAGAAAGAAGGGCAGACAGTCCTCCCTAGAGCTAGCCTTATGCTAGCCGCAGGAGGGGCACAACCCACATTTTGGTATGACCAGACCACCTGTATTTGGGTGTGCGCATAAACAAAACCGACATCCTGTCTGCTCCTGATCTGCAGAGTGTCAAGTCACCTTCATACCTAAATGGAAACACACAAAGGAGAAAGTATTGCCGGGAGGCTAAAGGATCTGTAACTCATTGGTACCCAACTGCGCAGACATTAGGTCACACCTGGTTTTCCTGTTAACCTGTTTGTAAACAGATAAGGACAGAGAGTGTTGGCTTTTGTTTTTATCGTTTCACAAGCACTGTTTCACAAGCACTATGTCGCTTGTCTGAGGGGTGAGGTAGCATTTTATTGTACTGTAGTTTGGCTTGCATTTTTTTTTTTTTTTTGCTGGTTAATGATGTTGAACCTCATTTCATGCCCTTATTGGCTAAGTGCATGTCTTTCTTCAGAGAAATGGTGATTTCCTGTCATTTCCCATTTTGAAAACTGAGGTACGTGTGTTGGTACGACTGAGTTGCAAGGATTCTTTATGATCTGTATAAAACTCCCTTCCTGTATACACTGGACATAGGATTCGCAGAGAATTTTCTCCCATCCCATGGTTTGTTTTTCAGATTCTTAGGGTGTCCTTTGAAGTAAAAATGTTTAAAATTCTGCATAAGATCCAGTTGGTTGTTTTTCTGTCTCAGAAATCGTAACCTAGTCCAAGGTTATAGAAACGTATACCTTTTTCTTTGAATAGTCTTTATAGTTTGAAATCTTCCATGTAGGTGTTGGATCCGTGTTATTTCACAACAGATGTTGGCTATTTGTTCAGCATCACTCTTTTCTATGTAGATGTCCAATTTTACTGTACCACTGATTGAGAAGGCTGTTCTTTCCTTTTGAACTGACTTGTTGAAAGTAAGTTTGAAAAGTTTTATTTTTAATTAAAAATCATTTCTTTCTTTCTTTATTTGGTACAGGGTCTTGTTATGCAGCTCAGACTCATAGTGATCCTCCTGCCTCAGCCGCCCCAGTGCTGGGATTACAGATGTGTGCCACCACTCCCAGTTTTGGGGCCTGTAGGGTGTGCCTGGAGTTCTAGGGCCAGCACGGCATGCAGTACCAGGGATTGAACCTGGGTCCTTGAGCTTGCCAGGCAGGTACCAGCTATTTTATTCTTTTTGATGATATCTTAGTTTTAGTTCTTGTTTTTCAATATAGGTACTTTTTCTTTTCCTTTTCTAATAGTCCTTGATAACACATTTAGTACAATGAATGGAAATAGGGAGACTGTGTATCCATATCCTTTCTTGTTTCTGATTGTAATAGAATCACCATGAAGTATAATGTCAACAGTTTGCCTTTTTTGTTGTTGCTATCGTTCCAGGCATTGTGACTTTTAAGATGAAAATTTAAGATTGAGGAGCTGTCCTTCTATTCTTAGTTTGGGGAGTCTTTCATTTTTTACTTTTTTGGCGATCAAACTCAAACACAGGGCCTTGTACTTGCCAGGCAGGTACTTATGCTGCTGAGCTATCTCCCTGGCTCTGGGGAGTCTTTTAAATACTGTTTGTGTCTACAGTTGTCTTGTGTTGTCTTTGTCTGATTTTGTTATCAGGGTAATACTAGAGTGAATTGGGAAATGTTTCTTCAAAGAATTTGTGAAACATAGATATTAATTTTGACATGTTTGGTAAAATTCATCTGTAAATATACTGGTCATAGGATTTTCCTTCATAAACATTTTGGTTTACTGAGTAATCTTTTCATTAATTAGAGATCTATTCGGCTTTGTATTATTCCTTCAATAGGATTAGGATTTTTCCCTATAACTCTGTCCTTTCAATCTGATGCTGTTTATTTACATGTAATTGTAAATAGTATTTCTATTGTGTAAAGTTAGTACAAATGTATTTTTTATGCCTGATTTTAGTAATCTGTCTTCTCTTTCATTTTAGTCTACCTAAAAATTTGTCCAGTTTTGTTCATCTTTTCAAAGAAACAACTTAAGCTTTAGTGTTTATTCTCTATTGCAGTAATTTCCACTCTAGTGTTATTATTGTCTTTGATCTGTTTCCTTTGCAATTAAATTCTGTTATTATTTGTGCTTTACTTTTTTTCATTTCTTAAGGTGGTAGGTAAGATTACTGCTTAGAAATACTACTCTTCTATAGTATGTCTATTACTAGCTCTCTAAATAGTATCATATTGTATCCTACAAGTTTTGTTTTTTATCCACTTCAAAATATTTATTTTCCTTGTGATTTTTTTTCTTTGGCCTATTGGTTTTTAAGAAATGTGTTAATTGTCACATTACTTTGAGTTTGGCTGTCATTTTTTATTGATTTTTCCTTTTATTGCATTACAAACGTATTTTATTCCCTGATGTAAGCTCTATTCTGGGGAATGTGTAGTTAAGAATAATAAATGTTCTTTAGTGTGGAGTGCTACACAAATGCTTACGTTTGCTTGGTTTACAGTTTTGTTTAGTTCTTTCATTCCCTTGTTATTCTGTTATTAATAATGATAAATTAAAAATTTTAACAGTTATTGTGCAGTGGTTTATCTTCTTTTCCCTAATTCTGTCAGTTTTGTCTCATATTATCTTGGGATTTTCTTTTGTAGTTGTAAATATATTTATAACCCCTATATTTTTCTAATGCATTGCCTTGTTTATTAAAAATGCTTCTGTCTTGAGTTGCAGTTTTCCTTTTCTTTTGAAATGTATCTTGTCTGCTATTGTCCTAGACATTATGACTCTGTGGAGCTTCTGTTCTATCTTTCCCCATATTATTACTTTCAGTCTACTTGTTTGTTTGAATCTAAAGTATATCTCCCTTGAATATAATGGATATTTGCATATTAAAATATGTAAATTTGTATATAAAATAGTAATTTAACCACTGAAACAAAAAATCTGTTGGATCTTGCTTTTTTAAAAAAAGTCTTATTTAATTGGGTTGTTTACCCCACTAGCAGTGTTAATTTATTTATTTATTTATTTTTTTTGTGGCTGGCTCAGCCTGCTCCGAGGGCTGGCTAGTGTGGCATGTAGTGCCAGGATCAGACCGCAGTCCCTGCGCTTGCCTCAGCTTGCCTAAGCAGGCATTTTAGACCACTGAGCTATCTCACCAGCCCCCACAGTGTTAATATTGATTGAGTTGGACATACAGCTGTCTTCTTACTTTTTATTTTCTATATATTTCATTTTTTTCATGTCCCTGTTTTACTGTTATTTTTTGCACTGAGCGCGTATTTTTCAATGTAACATTTTAGTTCCTTGCATAACATTTCACTGTTTTTTGTGAGTCTTATTTTAGCGATGGTTCTAGAGTTTACTACACACATTATCAGAATCGCTTCAGACTGAAACTAATTGAATTCCGTGAGATACGGAAAATATGTTTATGTTACTCTATTTTCTTTCCTTTGTTATTCTTGGACATGTCATACTTGCATGTCACAAACCTATCAAAACACTGCTAAATTATTATTTTTTATACAAATTTATGTATTTCAAATTACACGAAGTAAACAAGGGTGAATTTATGTTCTATTTTCTTATTATTCTTTTGATTTATTTCTTTCGATTTGAGTTACAGCGTAGTATCGTTTTCTTCTTCCAAATAATGATTTTACTTCTTTCTGACTCCATTTTCCTGCTGTTAGAAATTATATTCCAGGGGCCAGGGAGATGACTCCGTAGAATAAATGCTTCCCTGGCAAGCACAAAGGCCTGAGTTTAATCCCCAGTTCTGAAAAAAAAAGAAAAAGAATTATATTCCATATCTGTATCCTGTAAGCCCACCAACCAGTGCCATGTGTGTGTCTTACAAACTGCTTTCAAAATCTGTTCTGAATAGAAGGGTGAAGAAACATGTCCTTCTGACTGTTCTTCTAACAGTTGCGCAATCGCCTGGCCCAGTACGTTCGTTTGTGCCTGTGAATTACTGTCTGGGGTCACTTGCTTTCAGTGTGAGGCACTACTTTTGTGAGGGCCGAGTCTGGTTGCAACATGTTTGTCCAGCTATTTGTTTATCTGTGAATATCTTTATTTTCTTTCATTTTTTAAGAGATAGTTTTAATAGACCCAGGGTTCTTTTCTGATGGTGTTTTTCCTCTGAGTGCTTTGAATATGTTGTCCTCCACCATTTAAGATTATGAATCAACTGTTAAGCCTACTGAGATTCCCTGGTGATAAAGTTGCTTTTTTTTTCCTGCTGCTTTCAAGATTTTCTTGACTTCAGCATTTGCATAGTGTCTCTGTGTGGATCTCTCTCTTTGTGTGTGTGTGTGTGTGTGTGTGTGTGTGTGTGTGTATCTTTTAGCCAAGGGTCTACAGGGTGTTCAAGGTCTTATAACTAGATTGGACTCGTAGTGATCCACCTGCTTACAGCCTCCCAAGAGCTGGGATTACAGGCATGTGCCACCATGCCCAGTCTCAATTCCCCTCTCAGTGTGCCCCGGGGGTGGGGCTGGCACAGCATCCAGGGAATCGAGCTCTTGGCCCCTGTGCCTGCTTGCAGGCGCTTTAATCCGCTGAGTTTTTTGGCCAGCCCTCTCTTTGTATCTATTCTTAAAGTCTTTCTTTGTATTTATTCTTGATGTCCGTTGAGCTTCTTTGATATATACATTGATTTTTTTATCCTATTTGAGAAGTTTTCACTGCTTATTTCTTTGAACATTTTCACTTTTTCTTTGGTTCCTAGGATTATTTAACAATTTAGCATTTAAATATTTTAGAATTTTCTACAGGTTTTTTTTTTCTGTTATTCAAAGTTATTGTGGTATAAGCATACTTTGTGTGACTTGAATGTTTTTAAATTTATTGAACCTTCATTTGTAGATAAGGATATGGTGTTCCTTGGTTAGTGCTCCTTGTGCATTTGGATTTTTTTAATTTAATTTTTATTTTTTGTGGAACTGGGGATTGAACTCAGGCCCTTGCACTTGCCAGGGAAGCGCTTATTCTACTGAGCCATCTCCCAGGCCCTCCATGTACATTTGAAAAGAATGTGAGTTCTGTTGGTGGTGGATGGAGCGATGTCAGCAGCGTTGTTTGAACCTCCTACTCCTTACTGCTTTTCTGGCCAGTTGCATTGTCAACTATCAAGAGTGTGGTATCAACAAATTATGGTGATAGTTTTTACAATTATCTGTAAAGCCTGAGGTAGAACCTCAAATTATCTCATACCCATTTTTTTTTTTTTAATTTATTGGACACAGGGCCTCACTATGCAGTTCAGACTCATAGTGTTCCTTCTGTCTCAGCCTCCCTTGGTCTGGGATTACAGGTATGCGCCCCCCATGCCCAGTTCCAGCCCAGCATGGCATGTGGTAATGGGGATCGAACTCGGGTCCTTGAACCTAGCCCGCTGAGCTGTCTCCCCAGCCCTCTCATCAGTATCTTGATTCCAGCCTACAACAGGGAGTGTTTAGTAAAAGATGAGGGCAATAAGAGAGCTATTTAAGATCATTCACATGAAAACATCCCTGCTTTTTTGTTTGTTTGATGTATTTTACTCGGAAAACAACAAAAAATAATTCTGAAAGTGAGTATCTCTGGAGTTCAACTATGACTTTAAAGTTTGTCACTTGAAAAATCACTAAAATTTGCTTTGATGTAGGCACACACAATACATTTATTGAAGTAATATTAGAAAAAACATAGAATTTGAAATACCTTTGTATTTGTTACCTAATGTGTAGTTTCTGTTAAGGATGGGCATTTATTACTTAAACTTTTCCCTCCTAAAATAGCTTGCTTATTATTTGGCTAATGACATGGCTTGTTTTTTTAATTCCCTCAGAGTCGCAGACATTCTAAGTGCATCCGGCCATTTCTTCCTCTGTACAACGTGTCTGCACAACACGCTACCTTTGTTCTTAAGGGCTCTTTTGTAAGTACACATATGTACCTTTGATTTTGAGTTGGGAAGTTTTGTATTGTGTCAAGGTCCACAGTTCTTAAGAGAAATTTTATTATTGGGAACTCCTAACGGTAAGTGACAAGGGGCCACTTGCCTGGTGTCTTTTGTCTTCTGCCTTTTTAGTCAGAGAGGTGACAGTAGGGATTGGAGCGCTTTGTGGCCTCGAGGAACACCTGCAAGACACACAAGAAGATTATTCTCAGTGGTCTTAATATGAAGGAACTTTCAACTCTTGAGAATATTCTGCACTTAAACAGATAAAAAGCCCTAACCACCAGATTCTTTTTTGGGGGGGTACCTGGAATTGAACTTACAACCTCGCACTTGCCAGGCAGGTGCTTGCCACTGAGCTGTATCCCTGGCCCACCGTCCGATTCTTGCTATTTTCTACCTCTTGTTATATTTCAACTAAGAAAATGATATCATTTCTGCTTGCTAATGTCATAACAGTTGTTTATTTGTATCACAGAATTCTTTAAAATATTTTACATGTTCAATGAGTATTTTTGAAGCAGAGACACTAGAATGTCTTTTTTAAAAAAAAAACACATTTTCTAGAACATTTTAGTATTTATAGGAAATAAAGTATTTGTTTGAATATCTTTCTTTCTTTTTTCTTTTTTCGGTGGCATCAGGGATTGAACTCAGGGCCCTGAGCTTGCCAGGCAAGCACTTATTCCACTGAGCTATCTCGTTGGCCCTTGAACATGTTTTTCAAAACTGTTGCCATGTAAACTTTGAGGTGGTTCTTTTGGGAAATAGAAATAGAGTATGCATTGTCATTGCTCTGTCCTTTCTGGAACTGCTTTGGAAATCCTTAGAGAGAATGTGATGACTTAGTCATACTTTCTTATATTTTTTCCCCCCAGAGTGAAATCCCGGAACTACAGCTGTGGTACACCAAACTTGGAGAACCATCTGAGAGAGTTCTTTTTAAACAACTGGATTCTCTATGGGTAATTATAAAATCAATTACTATATTTTAGTCACTACAGTGGTGAAGTAGTGAAAATGGATAGAAATTTAAACTCAAAAGGAGTTTTGGTTTTGTAGGACCTTACGGCTGACCATAGAGATACATTCCCCCCACCCCACCCCCAATGTTTTTTATAAAGAACTTCTTCTTTTTTATTTTTTTGTAGATACTTGAGAACTTTGATGGTTTTGGGACAATAAAGTAATACAAATTGAAACTAGTTTTCCCCAAAATAATACCCTGTTCTTCCTCTCACAAAATCGCCCAATGAAACAGACTAATACAGTTTTTAATTTATGCCTTTTTGTTAAAATGTGAACTAGCATTAAATTTTCAGTCTAAATTAGACTAAATAGAGATTTTATACAACCCAGTGAACGAATTTATAGTTTGACAGTGTTCCTTATGTGTCTTGTCATCTTATTCCACCTTTGCTTTTCTCTAACTTCTTTCTGCACTGGTCTTCACTTATTACATGTACTTTGTTACATCAAATATCATTTTCATGCTCAATGTGCTTGAATAATCATTAAACCAATTTAGAACATTCCACATCTTAAATTTTGTCTTTTTTAAAAATTTATTCGGTACAGGGCCTCACTATGCAGCTTGGACTCATAGTGATCCTTCTGTTTTCGGCCTCCCCAGTGCTGGGATTACAGGCATGTGCCACCACGCCCATCTTGGTGGCCAGCTCAGCAAGCCAGGGGGCAGCGCTGGTGTGGCATGTGGTGCTGGGGATCAGACCCTGGTCCTTGCGCTTGCCTAAGCAGGCACTTAGTCCATGAGCTATGTCACCAGCCCAGAGCTTGTCTCTTTGACTATACATCCCAAAGTAATACTTCTCTCATCTTTCTTTGGTTAGTACCAGATGTTCTATAAAGAACCTATGAAAGTGTTTTATTTCTCTAAAATGAAGATGACTATATTCAGTGGCTATTAGTTGAACCATTTAGTCAAGGTATGTCAGAAGCTACTCAGCTTTATATTAATTAACTGAAATTATAATAAGTTAAACTACTTCTGTTATTCATGTAATGCTTACAAGATTATTCAAGGTAACACAGTGACTTCTCACAATTTAACAGTTGCTTTCCAAAATTTCACATTTCAGCTTCATATCTCTGTGAAGAAAAAAATTCAAACATACTTTCCTCATCTGAAAACATCACAAGAGGCTAAAAGGGGTTTAGAATCTTTCTATATCTTTGAAACCTAGTGCTACACTTCTAACATGTATCTAAGTTATAAATCAGTAGGACTTCTTTTGATGCCTTACTGAATGTCTGTCTGTGGATGTTCTTTGCTGCGCGCTAGTTTGCCTTGGTGCGTGGTGCCTTCACCCGGTCGCCCAGTTGAGAACTCGATCTGATTCGGTTGTCTCACTCACGCCTTGTGTTCTAGAGGCAATCGACAGATAGATTTGTCATTCTATATTTCTTTGACTCAGTCCTAAGTCTTCTTCCCCTGCATCTGCCTGTTTTGGTTCCTTCTTAGCGCTGCTCTGGATTTCACAAAGTACTTCCCATCTCTCCAGCCTCCACTCTGCCTCCCTGAGACCAGCGACCAGATGCCAGCTGTCTGCACATCTGGTTGTGGTCAGTGCCTCATTCAGAAGGCGGCCGCACTTTTCCGCCCCAGCTCACATTCCTTAGCACAGCGTGTGACGCGTGATGCTCAGCTGGTGCTGGTGGGGAGGAAGGCTGCTTTCTTTCCCAGATCTGAGGCCTGAGAAACTGGCCTCTCACTCACTAAACTTCCTTGCATTTTTCAAATGCTTTTTCCTTCTCTTGGACAGACTTCTCTTCATAGCTTTATTATCTTTTAAGACTCATTTCCTGTATCCTTTCTTCTGAGGCTCCTGCCCTCTGTCTCCCCGTCGCCGTTGTAGCACATGGCCACCTAGGACTGTAGCTGCGCACATTTCCCATTATGTCGCACAACTTGCCGAATTCAGCTTTCAAGCCCAGTGGCCTTTCAAAGAATGAGTTGTCCCAATCAAACTTACGACTTCGTCTCATTGGCACAAATCTGCTTTTTAGTGATAATTTTTAACGTTCAAATAATTAGCCAACATCAATAATTAAATAAATACTACATATTAAATTTTTACAGAGAACATTATATTGTTTAATCCTCCCAGCAACCCTATGATGTATGTATTTTTTTCTTCATTTTATTGATGAGGGGGAAAAGTTAAAAAGAGTAGGTTGCCAATAATAAATATAACATAAACCTAGTTTGGTAATTGAAATAATGGAGTGTATAATGAACGGGGTTTTTCTCTAATTGTAGATTTTCTGTGAATAGAAGTGGAGTGGGCAGTGTGATTGTTTAGAGTGTTTCTCCCTTTGCAGAGTCCTGCAGGAGAAATAAGCAAGTTGCTTAGCGTGAAGTGAAGGGAACATGTATAAGTTGTAGAGAGCTTCCAGGGCTGTGGGAAAGTACGGGCGCAGAGCGGTGGGGATGGGGTCGTCTCATCGCTCCTCCATGAAGTCCAGTGCTCTAAACGGCTTTTCTACGATGGAGTTTTATAAAGCTTTCTGAAACACTTAAGAGAAAGAAAGATCTAATGGCCTTGTTGGTGTGTCTTTCACAAGTATCAAGAAGTCTCAATAGCAATGAGTTGGGTTTTTCTTTAGTTTTAATTTTATTTATTTTAGAGTTTTTCTTTTTGGCACTGGGAATCAAACTCAGGACCTTGTGCTTGCCAGGCAGGCGCTTGTGCCGCTGAGCCTCGTTAGTTTTGAAAGGTAGTTTTTCTCTAGCCCAGGTGAGCTGGAGCACGCGGCCATGACTACCCTTGTGTCTTCTTCTTCAGCTCCTGGACAGCAATGGCACCTTCACGCTGGAACTGCACGAGGACGAGCTGTGGACACTCACCACCCTCTCCACAGGGCGCAAAGGAAACTACCCACCGCCTCCCAAGTCCCAGCCATTCCCGCATGTCTATAAGGATACTTTCAATGTTGGTAGGTGGTTTTCACTAATATGTAACATGGTCTGTATCTTCAGTGGCATTGTGGGCCAGTTTCTGTCAGTCTGTCTGGGTATGTGATGGCGCAACTGTCACACACACACTCAGATCTCAGGTTTCGGTGTGCTCAAAGGAGGCTTCATTTTTTAAAAAAAATTAAAAACTTATTTATTTGATACACAGTCTCATTACATAGCTTGGATTCGCAGTGATCCTCCTATCTCAGCCTCCCCGGAGCTGGGACCACAGGTGTGGTCCACAGTTTCTTCAGGGCGCAGCCAGAGTTCCATGTGGTGCAGGATCGAACTTGGGTCCTTGTGCTTGCAAGACAGGCATTTAGACTGCTGAGCTATCTCCCCAGCCCAAGGAGCCTTAATTTTTATATCACTTGCAGTTAAACCTCAACTGTGGGCCCCGTATTTTTCTTTTTGGTTTATTCTTTCTGAGACAGGGTCTCAGTATGTAATTCAAGCTGGCCTTGAACTTGCTGTGTAGCTCAGGCTGGCCTCGAACTCAAGGTCTCTTGCTGCTGCTTCCTGTGTTTCTGGCATTCCAGTCATGGCCCATCATGCCTAGTAAGGACTCAGTTTTTCAGTGTTAGAGAAAATGTAGAGTTCATTGTAAGATTGAAAGTTAATTTGAGCTGTTTTTGCTGAAAATGAAGGTTTGTAGCCCTTACTGGCATCTTCCCTTTGTGTGGAGAGGAAGCCACCTTAATGTCTCGTCTTTCTGTGATTCCAGGGAACTGGGCACTTGGGGGACGTTATGAGGTATGTGGGTAACCCAGCTCATTTAGTACACTCAGATGTGCCTGGGAGTTTTATATGACTGTTCTCTTGGAGGTTAGGAAGAGCTGTGTTAAAGCTGTTAGAAAGGCTTTGATCATAGATAATTTAGAAAAATTTGTTTGAAAGAGTTAGAAAACATGCTCATAGTGGTTATATTTTGTCTGTCTGTTATCTGTCTTTTTGTGACAGTTTCACTATACTGTTGAAGCTGGTCTAGAACTTGCTTGGTCGCCCAGGCTGGCCTTGAGCGTGCAGTGCTGCTCCGGCCTCGGCCTCCTGAACGCTAGGATCACACACCTAGCCCGTATATTTCTAGGTCACTTAACGAGCAAGAAAATTTGTGGTTCATAAGTGATGTTCTGTAGGACTGGTTGCCTCTGAGAGAGATCAGGTGGCTTTATAATCTGTTCCTAAAGTTTGTAGTCTTAGGAGAGTAAATGGGAGGGGACTGGTATTGTTAGAGCACCATTAAATATTTTTTGGGCTGTAGGTCAGGAAGGCTTTCTCCATCAAAGTTAGAGACTCTGGCCAGTCCCTACCAGTCACTGGCCGAGAGCGTCGGCTTGATTTCCCCGGAAATGGTTTCCGGCTGATTGTCACAGCAAGCTCTTTGGACAGTAGTACTGGGGCTTCCTCAACTGTTTGAAGACAGAAGGATATAACAGCGGGGAAAAATGCAGTGGTACCGCAATCAGTGTATTAGCCCTAAACTCTAAACCTAGGTTTGAAGTATTACTTATTTTTATAAAATGTAAAGTAAAATGTATTTAAAAATGTACCATACAATATCAGACAGAGTGAGTTTGTAAGCATTTGATACTAAACCAGTAATTCATTTTTCTCTGGACAGATTACCCATTTTTTAGTGAAGCTCCGAATTTTGCTGACCAGACAGGTGTATTTGAGTACTACATGAACCCCGAGGACCGCGGAGAGCACCGCTTCACTCTGCGTCAGGTTGTCAACCAGCGCCCGATCACGTGGGCTGCGGATGCTTCCAGCCCGATCAGCATCATCGGAGACCACCACTGGTGCGTGAGACGAGTCCCCCGGCACGTTCTGAAGCAGCGCTTTCCAGAGTCCTGCGCCAGAACCCAACCTGTGTGCGATTGTTGAGCACCCTCATGCACAAATCAGCCTGTGGTTTTGCTGCCTTAATGTCCCACTTTCGCATTCGCCCAATTTAATTGCTATTGTTGTACAGGAGTTTTGATTTTTATGAAAAAATTGAGGATTTGAGGCCCAATTATAATTTGACATTTATTTGGACTGATTTGAGGGTTTCTGGTTTGCTAGAGCTGATTTGTCAGTCTGCTGCTGCCACCTGCTGGAGCATTGGTAGAATTACACTCTCAGCTTTCTCAGAAATACCAGTTAATCAGAGATGACTGTGGTAAAAAGCAAATCAGCTTTTGTGGGCTAGAGATTTCAGCTCTTTTCTGTAGATATTTAGTAAAGCGGCAACTTGTTCTTCTTATTCACCAAAAATATAATTACCAGATCTTCACTTTTCACTTTAATTTTGTTATAAAATTTCAGTGGGCTACATTATATTATTTTCCATTTTTCTCTATCACTAATATAACTTCACATATACCGATCTGCCCATGTGCATGCACGCACATGCTTTAGAGGCTTAAAGATAACAAAGCCAAGCCACCAAGTTACCCATATCTGAAGCTCGGAACTGGACAAAGATGAGACAGTTAACATGGAAAGCCCTTGGATTGCTTCCCTGCTGACTGCTACACAGAAAGCTTTTCTCCTTTTGTCTGCGCATCCTGAGATTAGGTGTCTTGCGACATCCAGCCCACCGCGAAGTCCTCATTGCCCTCAGCCTCCACCCACTTCTTGTGTGCGCCGCCTCCCACCCAGCTGCAAATCCTTCCTGTAGTCCCGTGCTCTGATGTGAGTCGTGAGTAACTCAGCTGCCCTGAGCCTCCGGAGCCCTCGTGGCACTGCGGAGCATTGCGGAGGCAGAGTGAAGCATTCTTTGGTAATTTGAGTGGACTGTGGAAGCTTGTCTTGTCTTCTTATAAAACACAAATGCAGCTTACCATATTCTCTCTAAGGCAGATGCTTTGCCTGGGTTCTCTGATCTGTGGCATCTCAGCATGTGACTTCTCCATTTGTAATAGTTTTGTAAGACTGGGTTTAGGGGTCCTCACTGGGAGCCTCACTGTCTTGATCATCGGTGTGAAAGCCGGCAGCACGGAAAACCTTCAGCTTTGTGTGACAAGCCCCGTGCTGTCTTCCTCTGAATGCTGTAGAGAACACCCTCTATGCCCAAACTGTCTTATATTTGACAGATTTCAGAACAGTTGAGAGGTCCCTTGAGTGTAGTAAGGAGGTTTGGAGTTTGGCAACAACAACATTCCTGACGTATTTAAAGATTTCACATTTCTTGAGTAGCAGTTTCCAGCCTTGGCTGCGATCTGTTGCGGAGTGCACAGGGGAAGCCAATGTGGAAGAGCGAGAGGGTGCAGCGTCCAGCTCGAACAGTGATGATACGTTATTTGAAAAAGGACCCAGGGAATACTGAAAGGACTGCTGTGGTCTTTCTTAAACTGCACCTTACCACGGCATTCCATTGCCTAGGAATGTGGAGCGCCTCTTTCTTTCTATCGAGTCAGTTCCATACTTCTGTCTTTACTTCTAAGATCCTGCCCAGTTTAGTCTCTTTTATTTATTCTGTGTTGTTTCCCAATATTTCTTCTTCTGTTTGAGGTGGCCACATCTGCTCAGAAATCTGTAGTCTCATGTTCAATTTAAATTAAATCGAAATAGTTTGTCTGCGGTGCTGTATGAGAACAGCAGTTCTTAAGCATGCGCAGCGCCGTATGTAGTTCATGGAATTGCTCTGTGTAGTGGACCTCGTCTCTTGTGCGGTGGTCCCTCCCTTATCATGGAGGTTAGGTTCTAGATGCGCCCGTGATAAGTGGAAGTCAGCAAAGTAGAGACATTATATCTATTTTATTATATATATTTTCCACCCCCCCAGAACTGGGGATTGAACTCAGATCCTTGTGCTTGCCAGGGAAGCGCTTATTTTACTGAGCCATCTCCCCAGCCCCAGTATTTATATATATTTTAAGGCTTTTTAAACCTTTCCCACACTTTTAAAAACACTTTCATTGTTCTTAACCATTTTCCAAACTCATAAACCTATATAATTTTAGCACCATAGATATACTGTATGGTACTGCAAAATCTGGTGATGCAGTGAAAAATCCATAATAACCAATTTAGATTTAATTTTTTTAAAGAGTGAAAAATAGTGATAGGATAAAAAAGCATTAGAAATGACACAAGATTTCAATAAAGTAGTAGGAACTCAACAACAATTGCTGTACTACATGATACTATCTTCAAATTAGTTGTTCACATTACCAGATATAAATGTGCGAGTTTCATTTAAAAAACAAAACAAAACAATAACAAAGAAGTTAAAAGAAATCAAAAAACTGGCCGGCCAAATAGCTCAGTGGATTAAACAGCCTACAAGCAGGCGCGGGGGTAGGGAGGTTGATCCCTGGGCCTGCCATGCCGGCCCTGCCCTAGGGACACGCTCAGAAGGCAATTGAGACTGGGCATGGTGGTGTGTGCCTATAGTCCCAGCACTTGGGAGGCTGTAAACAGGAGAATCAGTATAAGTCCATCTAGTAGTGAGACCCTGAACACCCTGTAGAGCCTTTCCTAAAATAAAAAAAAGAAAAAAAATCAGAGTTAAAAAAAAATTAAGCATTAACTGTTCCTTTCAAAAGACCAGCAGAAAGAATTTTTTTTTTTTTTTGACCAGCAGAAATTGACAATACAATTATTGAGGGCCAGGGAGGTACCTCAGTAGAATAAGTGCTTGCCTGGCAGCACAGGATCCTGAGTTCAATATCTGGTACTGCAAGGAACAAAACAAAACAGCAAAAAACAATTATTGAAACTATTCTGCATATATACCTAAATAAATTTTTCCTTTCTTTCATTTGTGCTTTTCTTCATCCTACTTTTTCCTTTCCATTGAACAATTTCTTTCCCTTTAAGAGTATCGTACCTTTTAGATTTTCATTACTCTTTCAGTTTCTCACACTAGCAAGATAATACAGTGTTTGCACACATGGATCTGATTTATTTCACTTACCAATATAGTCTCTAGCTGCATACATTTATCTGCAAAAGCCTCAAATTTGTCTTTTTTTATACCTGAATAATACTCTATTGTGTAAAAATACCATATCTTTTTTATCCATTCCTCAGTTGATGGGCGTTTGGGTTGTTTCCAAGATTTAGCTATGACAAATTAGACAGTAAACATGGATGTATATATCACTGTGGAATGATGATTTCAGTTCTTTTGGAAAAATACCCAGCAGAGGAAGAGCTGGCTTAGTGGGACCTCCAATCCTAGCTTTTTTGAGGAATCTCCATACTGATTTCTATAATGGTTGTACCAGCCTGCACTCCCACCAACAGCTGAGAAGGGTTCCTTTACCCCACAGCATCTCCAGCATTTGTTATTGGTTGACTTCTTTTTTTATTATTATTTTTTTCCCATAATTTTATTGAGAAACAAATAGCAGTGAGATAGTTTGAAACCAAATTGGTAGGACAGTTTCAATAATAATTAACACATTGCATACGTTCTTCCTAGTGGTTAATTGCTGTACAAGATGCGGACATGATATCCTATTTACAAACACTATTAGAACAAATCCTTCTATTTGTTAAGAGGATGTAACTATATATCTATCCTAACCATTTTGAATACACAGATACAAAATGGACATTCATCTGTATCCCCTTTTTTTGTTTAGTTCCGTTATTTGAATATTATAGGTGTGTAAACTCAGCAAAATATTCTGAAAGAGTCCAGTAGTCCATAATAGTATTGGGGCGTCCGCTTCACTGTCAGTGTCAGAAATTGTTAACCTGAGTCCCCTACAGCTCAACATAACAGCATGGCTTTACTTTTTATACTTCGTTCTTATACTTTTCTGCTGGATGGTTAAGATCAAGGTAAAGCAAGACCTATGCAACAAGAGTTGTAGCTTTTGGGTCTGATAAGGTCAGTGAAATCCCCTCAGGATTTATCCTGAGATCCTGTACCTCAGATTGTAGAACCTTTGTCTGTCAGTCATGTGGATGAGTCACGGCCATTGCTTGGCCAAGGTGCTCTCTGTGAAAGCCTGAGAGAATGTTTTCTCTTCATGTGACTCTCCTTAGGCACACTCTACATCATCAATCACTTTCCTCTTTGGCCCCGTAATCTCCTTGATGAGAAAATTTGGGACACTACTGAGTTACGTGACATTACGGTACAAGTTCTTGTATGTCCTGAGTCTTAATTGACCTTGGAAGACTAGGGCCAAAATGTTGACTTTCCTTGCGGCCCTCCTTTTTGTCTAATTTTGGTCTGCAAACTTAGGTTGTTAACCCTCGAGAAGAGAAGCTTAATGTTATTACCATACAACCTAGGCTGTTAAGCTTAACCTCACTATCTGTCTGAATATCAAACATCTTAGGCCTAACATGGAACAGGTATTTTTCATCAAGTATTGATATGTTGAATTTTAAGTCCCTACAGAATATGATGAAAAAACATTTAAAAATTAGAATATATTTTTAAAAATAGGCATAAAGAATTATATACTCCTTATATTTAGACGTAAGTCCAAAAATCTAACCATATACAACCTTGAAGCAGGACAGTCCCACAACATTCCTTTTCCTGTCTCCTGCCTTCATTCACCACCCCGTTCTTTTTGAACAGTCATCTACTCGAGAGACATCACAGCAGCAACTGGCATGTCATGACAAGCAGCCCATATTCAGAAGACCAGAATGACAGGCACTCCAAGCATGAACCTACTATTACAAATTGCCATCTTCAGTGCAGTTGCTTAGTTCACAGGTATCAGTGTATATAGTTAGTCAGGGTGAGAATCTTTCCAATGAACTGCTAGATTCAAAAATCTTCTGGAGATTCGCAGGATTATTGCCTTGCCCATCTTGTACATATAACTGTATGGCTTGACAT